AGAAGGCCTCCTCCTCTTTCTCTCGGATGCGAGACCGCCGGTTCTCCATTTACTTTACGATGCTGGCAGATCTGGGCTTTGGCAGTAACTGGGCCAAACCCGTAACTGATTTACGAGCAGCTTTCCTCACTCCGCCTGATGCGAGTGTCCTTGTAAGGCAGTGCCAGCACGGACTTCCCTTGATACCCTGCAGACGCCCACCACCGAACACAACTCCTCTGACCCTTTTATAAGAAAACATGACTGGAAAAAACATTAAATAAATATGCTACGGCTCACCGGCTGTAGACGTGAAGTGTAACGATGATGGTTGCGAATACTGGGTACTGGGTCAGAGGTGAAAGCCATTTAGGGTAACCATATCCACTTATAAACATGGTTCAGTTTATTTTCAAAAGAACAAAACTGTCAAATTTGTTTTACTATTAAAGGATCAGTTCATCTAAAAATGTATTTCTCACCTCATGTCATTTATTGATGGTACCTTTCCTTCTTCCACAGAACACAAAAAGGAGGCATTTACAAGAATGTTTAAGCTGCTTTTTTCCAAACAAGAAAAGTAAATGGAATAATTATTCACTGAAAATTGCATTCACTTCCATTACATCAAAATTCATGAGGTGGCAGAAAAATAATGACAGATTTTTTTTAATTTTGGTAAACCACTCCCTTAAAAAAAATTATTAAAAAAACCCTTTAACAGTATTTATAGTATGTTTAACTTCTATATTGAGGCACTTTTTATTAGTTATATATTCAGGGACAAAGTAACATGGGACTTGATTTTATCCACCAAGACTTGCTTGGTGGACACCTGCATGCTCGAGTTTACATTTTAAAGAGTTTAAATGACAACTAGTAAGAGTGGCTGCAGTGTGGCAAAAAAAAAAAAAACCCCGGTATGTGAAACGATTAGTATGTCTGAATTCACAGTATTCATAAAACAGTGGGCGAAAAGTACCCAGGTGACTAACTACATCCGGCAAGATTCTGAAGTGCACATCCAGTGGACATTTTCCTATCCCATGATGCCACGGGAGAGGATTCGTGAATCGCATCGCAACTAACGCTGGTAGGTCACATGACAATGACAACATGACGAATGTACAGTAGTGCGTATGGATGGATGACAATCATGCTACATGATTTCATGCTATATAGAACATATAAATATACTATAAATGTGCTGCGGGTTATCGTATCTCTCACCTGCCTGCATGTTGCAGATGTTACCAAGTCAACTCTGAATCCACAGCTTCAGTCGTAACATGAGGTAAAAGAGTCGTAAAAGAGTCGCAACATGGTTAGGGGCTTTGTTTTGGTGTGGAGGGCTTATCTCTGCATGACTGGGTAAGCAAATCTCTGGCTGATGGGAAGCAGGACAGGTGGAGTGAAGTGAAAGAGGACAAGACAGACCAAGTGATAGAGCAGATTGAAAAAGGCAACTGAAAAGAACAGGGAAAATACTTGAAATTAGCATACTACTTACTATTTCAGCAGTATATAGCACGTATACAGTGCAAATTGATGACCAACGACAAAGACCAAAATGAGCAGAATGCAAGAGTAATGCTGTGAGGAATACTGTATCCAAAGCAAAGCTCCAGACCTGACCTTCCATTTCTGAATTAAACGGAATTAATAGAATGAGGTCATGTGATAATGTAGCTTACTACTAACGGAAACATTTATCCTGGAGTAATTCACAATAAATAAAACAAATAAATAGTATGCAGTATATAGTGTACACTGCACACTACTGAGTGTGTAGTAAGCTAGTAAATAAATAAATAAATATATATAAATAAATAAATAAACAGTATGCGGTATATAGTGTACACTGCACACTACTGAGAGTGTAGTAAGCTAGTATTTCATTCCAAACACAGCCATGGTCTCACCAGAGCCGGGTCCTGCAGCAATACACAGAGCTGCCTCTCTTCTGCCCCAGGAGAGAGAGGGAAATGAGCCACTTAATACCCCGCGGTACCACAACCTCAACTCTGCTTTGCAGCAGGCCAACATCATACAGCTATTAAAGCCTTCAAAGAGCACAAACACAAAAGAGTCACTATATTCACTCTCCCATGAAGAGAGGAAGGACGATTCATCCTCATGCTGGGGCTGCAACAAATAGGAACGTGACATTGGTCGGTCAAAGCCTTTACGCCTCAGACTCTCTGCAGGACGCAAGATGTTATTACTTCAAAACAAACACTCTTATCTGGACCAGCCCGAGCCATTTACATCTCCCATTAAGAGCAAACTAAATAAGCCTCAAGTCAAAGTCAAAGATGTGTGATCCACGTAACAGCAACCTACAATGAGTTCGGATTATTTATGGCTTATTGTGTTACAGCTTAGTCTGTGTTGCTAACGGCAAAAGCATTTTGGCATGCAATGTAAAAGCATTACTAATAAGCAGAAATAAGATACAGAATATGTTGTAATATTTATGCCAGCATATGAGGGACAAAATTGTATGAATACATTCACACCAAATATTTGGAATAATATAGAAAGAGAGAGTATTATTATCATCATTATTATTATATACACAACATATAGGAAATATATAGTGTAGGCTATAGTGAGTGTGTGTGTGTGTGTGTGTGTGCATTTGTATATAGGCTATATCTATAGGCTCTATGTATGTTTGTGTTTGTGTGTGTGTGTGTGTTTATATATAATTATTGTTATAACTATTATTATCTACATAATTATATTATTATTCTGTGTAAATATTTTATATACACTAATGATTATTCTTTTAATATTTATTAATTAATAATAATTATTATTATTTTTCCATACAAAGAAAACAATTAATAAAAATACTGATCCCTTGATTAGAAGCTTTTATACAGACTTACAAATGTAGAAAAACACAAGCTAACATAAAGGTAAATCTAATGTAAAGGACCCAAAAACAAAAAGAAACTAAAAAAAAATAAATTAAAAAAATAGTGGCATGAGATCATAATTGTGTTGGAACAGCGATGTAGAAATAGATTATGTAAATAATTGGATGTAAAGATATTTTTACATCCATGTCAGTTCACAACAAGGCATATTTGTAAGCTTAAAATACAAGGCAAAACATTCAATAAAACAGCATACATGCCAAAACATCCCTGGTCTACAACAAATAATGGCATCTAAATAGTAAATTACTAGATGCATTTTCCACTGAACATCTAAATAAATCTGCAACTCTTACACAACACAAACACAAATCTAAGTTGAATTATCCTTCCTTAAAACACACACAACTACATTATTCTCTTCTCACAACACACAGCATTTCTCAGTGTGTATTATTAAAAAACTGCATGCAGTACAATCAGCATTTTGCATGGTGGAAGATTTTATCTTAAATATTTATATGGCTGCCACCGATGCCACTGTAAACCGGTATGAGCCATTAAACGCACATCATTTGCTCTTCAGTGAGACTGCCAAGGCATGCTGCAGGAGGAGGAGCTCGTGCAGTGGACCAAAATGGATACAAGCACACAGGGGCAAATCTGAGCATGATCCAAATGATATTATCCATTAAAACAAACCCTCAAACCCAAGATTAAAAACCTGCACTAAAATATCAACCTAACGATGCAGCAGTAAACATACAGGGTAAAACTCCATAGTAACAAACAACATTATTTACAAAGCTATTTATGTAAAGCCAAGTTTGTGTTTAGAACGACAATCATGATAAATTAATTAACGTTTCTGGCAGTAATCCAAATTTAATAAAGGTTATTTCTCATCAGTGGTATACCAGAGCTAAAATATTCACAACCACAGGATCTCATTTGAAAAAGCAAGATGATAACTCAATTAAAAGTGCTCTGAAATGCAGTAATAATTTCCAGATTTGTTTTAATAAATGACATTAAACGGGCCTGTTAAAAATCTGCCCAGCAAATGTGCTTGCAATAATGAAATGCTTTAGAAACAGGTTCGTTTAAACTCACTGCTACACTCTTATTTTAAAAAAGGATAATAAGACGAGAGTAATAAATCATAACGATTTGTGTTATTGTACAACCTGAGCATTTGCTTTTAACAATTACAACAACAAAAAAAATGTATTCACCCTGTAAAGAGGCATTTAACAACTATTTATTTCTATACATTTCTGTAACAGCTTACAGTCTAAATCTGTAAATAATGATGACAAATTTTTGTAATTAGGGTTGAACAACGCTTTTTTTTCCCACACTGGATATGCCTTAAAAACTAGTAGTGAGCAACCTAACTGGCCTGCATTTTTGACTGTATAGGCAAGCGCAAACGAGAAAAATAAATGTGTTTAGGTTGGCAGTCATTAAGACAATCATTGTGTAATGCTTTAGGGTTGGTATGTGTATATTGTGGTTTGTAAAGGATGTGTTTTCACCTTTACAGCACCCAGCAGCATACAGCCTCCAGCTATAATAACAAGACACCTACCTACAACGAATGCTTTATTATTTTTTGGGATTTCAGGTCATTCATATACTGTTAGCTGGGAGTCAAATGATAAAATTCAAGTGTGGCTGCTTTTCTTTGTGTATCTTATAATGAAAATATTTCAGGCTTTTTTTACACTTTCCATCCATAAAATCCAAAAGGCTCTTTTGCTACAAAAACGACTGGATAAACAGTTTAGATTCATATCTAGATTGATAAGGCTGAGAAATAAAAATGCATTAGGTGGACGCTGGAAATGTCTTGCTACCTTTAAAAAAAAACTCGGTTTTGAGAGCAAGACTACAGTTTTATACTACTAAAAAAAGCTAGTTCTGTTAGTTCTAGTTCTAAACTGATCATTTATCATCTGACAATAAGAGGCCAAAGGGTTTAAAACAGTAGATCAGACTAATTTTTTATCCTTTACACCTGCGCGCACACACACACACTTTTAATCTGTTTGTCGTTTAAAAAATAAAGACAATTATACAACATAATACATTTCCAGTCTTATGTCATCTATTAAATCTAGAGGCTGATCTTACCTTTTTGTGTCTGTCTTTAAAAGGCAACGCCGGCCATTGCATCTCCTGCAAGAAGTCCTGCCACTGTTTCTGGTCCTGATCCGATGAGATGAAGACGATTTCCAATTTGTCCTTGTGCTCCGAGGATTTTTTAAACTTGCTATAAAACTCGCACAGACTCGCGTTGAACTGCTTGCAGGGACCGTTTAAACTGCAGCCGAAGTAGAGCCCGAGCAGAGACAGCTTGCTGCCCAGCGCGTGAACATCCACCTCGGCTTTCTCCCCGTTGACGAGCCACTCTCCGAGCAGATTCACCAGAAACTCCGTCATCGCTGCTGAGCTCTCGAAACGGACTGGTTTTTCGGTTTTGTCTGCTTATTCGGTTGATTTTAAGGTAAACCCAAAGTGCTCGATGGATACCCACAGGCCCTGGTGCCCGGTTTGGCAGTCCCGGAATCGCCGCGCGGGTTCGTTGTGTAGTCTCCACCGTAAGCGGTGTTAAGGAATGCGCTCCAGTTATAGAGCGGCCCTCAGCGCGACAGCGCCGACTCCCGCTGCGAGACTTTCACGACATCTAGTGGCCAGATGGTGCAATTGCACCTCGGCATACTCGCAGGGTGTCAAGCAAATCACAATCACGCCATGTTTCTATCTGCATAAAAAGATACCTATTTTTTTCTCTTTTGTATAGATGAATATATAGACACATTCTCAGAGTATCAGTACATGTCATGTTTTTTGGGTATTCGCTACTTTCATTTAAGCAGAAAGTGGTGTCACAGAGTTACAGTGATTACCTCATGCATCCCATGTACATTTCAATTACCACTAAAAGCAAAAGAAAAACAACAGAACGGTTGTTTCTGCACTACTTTAAGCAGAATAATGGTGTACAGGAAAATTGAAACCAGATTCTGTATGATAAACATCCATTTACTTAGCAAAAAACTGTACTGTTCGAAAAGCTTGCTGAAGTTAGGAATAAAAACAAAAATGTACAACTGCTTACTCAGTGCACAATAATTTCCTATCATATTTACTTGGACAGCACAAAAAGTTACACATGCAAAACTCCTTGAAAAATTACAATAACACTTGCAGATAGATTTTTCAACAAATTTTATTTTTTTATTCTGAATATAAACAATCAAAATGGCAACAGCCATAATCATATCAATTTTCATTATGTATGTTTACTGTATTTGAATTGATTCAGTTCTTCAGTCTTAGGTTCATTCAAAATGCATATTGTGTCATCATTTACTCACCCTCCGCTTGTTCCAAACCTGTATGAGTTTCTTTCTTCTGCTGAATACAAAATAAGTATTTTATGGAAGTCAATGGCTACCGTCAGCTGTTTACCAACATTCTTCAAAATATATTCTTTTGTGTTCCAACAGCTGAAAGAAATTCATACAGGTTTGGAACCACTCAAGGGTGAGTAAATGATGAAGATTTTAATTTTTGGGGTGAACTATCCCTTAAAGTTGTTTGAAAGTATAGTCAGTCCCTTTTTTGAAAATCACTAGATAGTAAACTTGAAATGTCTGGTGATGTTACAAATTAAATCTTCCTTGTATACACAGTTTAATTTGCACAAATGCTTTCCAGACTTTCCAGACAATCACCACAGAATAATTCCAGACCACGATTTGTTTTGCTGAACATTGCCGAGCAGAAGCCCAGATTACAAATGACAAAATGAATTAGCAGAAAAACCGTGTCATTCATTCAAAGAAACTGTTTGAAATGCTGTTGTCATTAAGCAGTATGTGACAGGACATTAATCCTCTGTGAACAACATTCGAACCAGGTCTGCTTTAAAACACTCCTCTTCAACCAGCTTCTGGGGCTTAAAACAGACAATACATATTATATGCATTTACATTTATATCTAGATTACACTGTGGATTCATGTTTGTAGTACATTTGCAATATGCATACAAATTTAATAATAATTAATAATAATAATAATTTATGCATTTAGCAGCCACTTTTATCCAAAGCGACTTACAGTGCATTCAGGCTATACATTTTTTACCAGTATGTGTGTTCCCTGGGAATTGAACCCACGACCTTTTGCGCTGCTAACGCAATGCTCTACCACTGAGCCACAGGAACATTTAAAAATTTAAATGTAAAAATTTCAACAACAAAAAATTATAATTTAAAGTGTTAAATCCACTCATCAAAGAACATTTACTGATCTTTACCGTCCCGTAGCGCAGTAGAGTGGGTACTCCAGTCAGCTTCAGATTCTTCTTAAAGTCATTATTTGGGTCCTTCCAGCTGGCAAGAACAACAGTGAAATTAGATGTCAACACTTAACCAAACCAAACAAATCTAAAATATATATTTTTTTTAATTAAAATTTGCTGAAAATGTACTCACCCTCAGGCCATCCAAGATGCGAATGAGTTTGTTTGTTCATCAGAACAGATTTGGAGAAATTTAGCATTGCGTCACTTGCTCACCAGTGAATCCTCTACAGTGAATGGGTGCCGTCAGAATGAGAGTCCAAACAGCTGATAAAAACATCACAATAATCCATAAGTAATCCACACGACTCCAGTCCATCAATTAATGTCTTGTGAAGGGAAAAGCTTCGTGTTTGTAAGAAACGAGTCCACAATCTATAACACTTCCTCCGACATATCTGTTTATAACTGTTTTCACTTGTAAACAGTACTTGATCTGTGCATATTTCTCTCCTATTCAAAGGAGATGATTTTTTTCACTGGAGGAAGCAATATTATGAATAGAGGACTCGTGCTTGTGTGAAGTTAAAAAACGTCTTTATGATTTTGTTTCTTACAAACACAGCACTTCAGTTCACAAGACATTAATTGATGAACTGGAGTCATGTGGATTACTTGAAGATTATTGTGATGTTTTTATCAGCTGTTTGGACTCTCTTGCTGGTGAGCAAGTGACGCAATGCAAAATTTTTACAATCCTGTTCTGATGAAGAAACAAACTCAAATACATCTTGGATGGCCTAAGGAGGGTAAGTACATTTTCAACTAATTAAAATTTTTCAGTGAACTATAAACTTTAAAGGGGTCATATGATGTTGCTAAAAAGAACATTATTATGTGTGTGAAATACAGTCTACTGCGGGACATGCTTTATTTTAAAGAGCTATAAAAAGTGCATTAACTGCAAAAGAGACTGTTCCTTAGGTGCGTTCTGTGTTTTCCCACATGGAGCTAAACATAGACAAGTATACTGAGGGTTTCAGGCACGCGCATAAACTGTCAAATATACACTTGGCCAGCTATCCAGTGCGTTGTGATTGGCCGAATACCTCAAGCGTGAGATGGAAATGTTACGCCCCACACCATACTGTGATGCCCTGTCCGGCTGGAGCGACGATTCAAAACCAATAAAACCCATTATAAACGAGGCATTTGTTGCATCCAGTGGGGACATAATTACGGATTATAATGACTTATACTGTCTTTTTACGTGTTGCGTTGCATCGCGCCGCGTAAACATAA